AAAAAAAAAAAAAAAAAATTAAGCAAAACACATAAGAAAGAACAGCAAAGCCACTCTGCAGGTCACGAGGTAGCCCCTCTTCTCGTTGAAACATACAGTCTCCAAATGTTTCATTTTTATATAAACAGATTCTGCCTCAAATCCATTTTTTTTGAAAGGGATGAAGGAAGAGAGTCAAGAAGGGAACGGGATGAAGAAGGAGGGAAGCAGAAGAGGAAGAAAGCAAAGGAGGGGGAGAAGTCGGAACAGGAGGAGGCGGCACAGGAGGGAAGGAGGAAAACAGAGAAGAGGATTCGAGGCTGGAGGAGAAAAGGGCCCTCACCCCCGCCGCCCGCCAGCCACCTCTGGCTGCTCCCGCGTCTGCTCCAGGCCCTGCACAGCCCTCAGGCTGTCTGCGCTCCCCGAAGGTTGGGGCAAGGGAGCCAAACCAGTCAGCGCCCCTGGCCTAAGGGAGAAAGGGCTGTAAGTCTCCCTGCAAAGAGTGCCGTGCTCTCTGGCGGCCGAGGATTCCTCAGACAACTGCTAACAGGGTCTGTCTTTTGCAAGGTGTGTCGACAACGCTCTCCTTAGAAAAGAATTTTCAGCAGCGCCCACGGCTGCACATTCCCCAGGCCGCGTAAAGCTCTGGGAGGGGAGGGCCCAGCACTCTGGAAGCCAGTTGTTCTCACGAGACCAGGAGGTAGGGGGACGCCAAATGCCAGGTCCTTGGTGAGCTCGGTGGTCCTGTGGAGACGGGTCACACAGCCCAGCTCAGCCCTGGGCACCGAAGGCAGCCAGCGGCCAGCCTGTTGGCAGCAGGGGGACTTTTGGCCAGGCCGGCCTGGGGGGCAAATTCATCATCAAGGCCACGGCAGAGGCTGCCACCCTGTGAGACGGGCAGCTCAAGGGTACAGCCTCGAGGCCCCAATTCCCCCACCCGTACCGCCCCCCAGATGCCTCAAAACACTGGCAGCATTTGGCAGGCCTCCTTCACTCAGCAGGTGATTCTTAAAACCCCAAGATGCTTGCAGGACCTCGGGTTGCTGGGTTACCCATTTCTGCTTTTTTTTATTTTGGAGACAGAGTCTCCCTCTGTCGCCCAGGCTGGAATGCAATGGCACGATCTCGGCTCACTGCAAGCTCCGCCTCCCGGGTTCAAGCGTTTCTCCTGCCTCAGCCTCCCGAGTAGCTGGAATTACAGGTGCCTGCCACTGTGCCCGGCTAATTTTTGTATTTTTAGTAGAGACAGGGTTTTACCATGTTGGCCAGACTAGTCTTGAACTCCTGACCTCGTGATCCACCCGCCTTGGCCTCCCGAAGTGCTGGGATTACAGGCGTGAGCCACCGCGTGTGGCCTGGGTTACCCATTTTCACCCGAGCCTGTCAGGAGAACACTCTGCCCTTATGCGACTTGATCCACAAAATGACCAGCAGTTCAAGCCACTGCCCCAGTGTGAGTCCAAGGACGGGCCAGGCGGAGGCAGCTCCCTTTGGTGATGGCAGGGGAGGCACCTGGCACTGCTCTGTGGAAGACTCTTCAGCGGGAGAGAAACGAGCGAGACAGGACTGAGACCCCAGGGCACAAAGAGTGAGCAGGACGTCCCCAGAGATGGCCCCACAGGATGTGCAGACCAGACACTCCAACAGCCAGGACCCTGCAGAGCGAGCGTGAGTGTGTGCGAGTCTGTGTGTGCGAGTGTGCATGTGTGTGAGCGTGGGGGGGGTGTGTGAGTGTGTAGGTGTGTGCATGTGTAGGTGTGTGAGTGTAGGTGTGTGTGTGCGCCCGTGTGAGTGTAGGTATGTGTGTGAGTATGAGTGTTTGTGAATGTGTGAGCGTGTGTGTGTGCATGTACGTGTGTTCACATACCTAGAACACGTCCATTGAATGAGACTGGAAGCCGTAACCACGGAATCATACAAAAGCTCAGAAGTACTCAGAATTCAATCAAAAATACTGGTCAGAGTTTTGTGATGCTACGAAGCTTATGAAGGAACGCACAGTTCCTTCAAGTTCAAAGGTGTTTCGGCCCAGCCTGGCCACATTTAAATATCCTCAGAGGCAAAGAAAGGCCAACTCCCATCGAGGGATGGTGCGGTCTCCGGAGGGCTGCCGGCTGCTGAGACCAGAGAGAAAGGGACGGTGTGGTCTCGGGAAGGCTGCCGGCTGCTGAGACCAGAGAGAAGCCAGAACTGATATACCAGTGAAACCAGGGGTGAGCGAGAGGCTCTGAAGGAGAAACAGCCCCGGCTTGGAGGGCAAGGACAGGGCACCACAAACAGGCCATCAACGCAGACTGAAATGCCGGACGTGGGGCTCAGCCCAACCTCGAGGCACTGAGAAGACGCTTCCAAAATGATATCCCTGGAATGATATAATGATTTCCTTCATACGTGAGCATCTTTCAAACCTAGGAAGATCTGGAATTAAGTTTTGAAATATGAATCAAACTCGTGCCACTGACGTTTTGTGTGTCAGTAAGTGCAATTTGAATAAAACCAAATTCAGTATTTGTTTTTGTTTAAGAGGCTATGGCTGGCCGGGCGCGGTGGCTCACGCCTGTAATCCCAGCACTTTGGGAGGCTGAGGCGGGCGGATCACCTGAGGTCAGGAGTTTGAGACCAGCCTGCCCACCATGGTGAAACTCCGTTTCTACTAAAAATACAAAAATTAGCCAGGTGTGGTGGCAGGTGCCTGTAGTCCCAGCTACTCCGGAGGCTGAGGCAGGAGGATCGCTTGAACCCGGGAGGCAGAGGTTACAGTGAGCAGAGATTGTGCCAATG